GTTTTTTTTTTAAGGGGGGAAAATCATCGAATGACTGCTCCCGCCTGGGTGAGGCGGGAGGGAGTGTCAGACTCTTACTGACTAAAAACCACCCCGTTCCTTCTCCTGCACGTCGAGCCGGAGCCCCGGTTACCCGTTAGGTTCTCCGCGACTCCTAAATATAGAGGTAGAATTGATATAGTAGTTGAAGTGGCAGTGGGCACGGAACATAGCGCGGAGAATCAACGGCTGCTTTTTTTTAGTCATCCATTGACTTCTCCCGCCTTGGGTTGAAAAGGAGTGTCAGTCCGTCAGTCTGGAAGTCATAGAGGAAGGCCTATGTTTAGTAGTGGACGTCCTATGATGATGAAATATACCTACATGTTAAATTGATTAACTACGGCCGCACATTTTCACCCACTACTCAGCTTCTACGAATCATAGCGTGATGATTCTTAGTACAATTTTTTTTTTCTTGTATAGAAGCACTATTTTATATGGATTGTCAGTATACATAATTATGTGAGGACCATGTCAGACTTAAGATATTTATTTTCTCTTGGTTAATTGTTTTTTTTTTCTCTATTTTAGTATGTTCTGTTATTTGTATGTTGCGTCAGGTATGTCTTTACATTATTCTCACATGTGTGTACAATATTGGAATATGTATCAGAGCAGTGCAAAACAGATTTTTTTAAAAAGAGTAACGAATGGAGTTTCTTGCTCGTTCTTCTCTACTCGAATCGACATTTTGGAACGAACGCCTAGCTTCACTGACGGACAGACTGACAGACTATTATTTATTTCATATTTGTTGACGTTTCAAAAGTACCAAATTATGGTTTAATTGAAATAAATGCTTTTGAGTTTGAGTTTGAGTTTACATAGCTTTTCTCGATAAATAAGCTACATAACACTAGAATAATTATTACATTTGCGTTAGAAGTTCCGATGATCAGAGTGGACAAACAAACTCTTTGCTTAATATATTGTACTAGCCACTTCGGCGCATTTTCTTTGTAACGTTATTTTTATAGCCTTTCTCGGTAAATGCACTATTTAACACATTAAGAATTATTCAAATTGGATTACTGGTCCGAAGATTAGATCTATCTCGCCTGGTGGTGCACGATGATGCGGCCTACGATGGAGCACGTTGTCCCATAAGCAACCTATTCACTCGGGCCTTGAAGACACCCAGGTCATACCCTTCAGGAAATATACACTCTGGCAAAGAATTCCACTCCTTAGCAGTACGCACAAGGAAGCTTGATGCGAAGAGCTTCGTGCGTGTGGGTGGGATATCTACCATGAATCGGTGAGGCTTCGCGGATTGTCTTGTGGTATGACGATGGAAAGGACTAGGGAGAATCAAGTTGTGCAATTCTGTATAATAATGTGCAATGGTCTATAATAAGTTAAAGTATAAGTAGAAGCAATGTCGTGGTGGCCCGGAGATTTCGAAACCTACCAACGGCAAGTACCAATGTGACATTTTCCGAGTTATATGTACTTTCTAAGATTATCCAGACACCACTGACAAACGGTGAAGGAAAACATGGTCTTATAATTTCTAATTATAAGTTTGTAATCGCCAACTCGCATTGAGCAAACGTGGTGGTTAATGCTCAAACCTTCTCCGTATGAGAAGATGCTTTGCTCAGCAGTGGTCACTTATAGGCTGTTGATGATGATAAGTAAAAGATATACAAGGTGTTGTTTTAAACCCACGTCATTTTCTAGGAGGTAACTCAACTATCGATTCCGCGTCCGAATCAATAAAAACAATTGTAGGTAAATATTTTTCATTTTTCTGTCAATTATCTACGGAAATCCGTAAATACGAGTACACGCCGCCGTCTTGTAACTAGCTTTATAACGCGGCTTAACACACACAAACTCAAACACGTAATTGATATTATTCCTAATTCCAAACTCGTCGAGGACCGGTTTTGTAGACACAATTATAGAACAATAGGTTGCGGTCACCGGTGACCGCTTGGTGTTTGACAGTTTAAACTCCAACAAGAAACATTGCTGTCGCTTATTCTGAAATACTGTCGAACTTAAACGATTTATTATAGCCGTATTTTTAACTATTGGCCCGAAACTTTCTCTTATATTGAACCTTTATGACTTCTGTGACATGCCCCCGAAGAAATGTCACGGTTTCAAAACTACACCTTGTTTTTTGTTAATAGCCATAAAACTTACTGGGCAAGTGTCTTTGCTTTCATATCTGTCCTGGTAGCGAAGAGGCATGTCCCTATCTCCGTAGCACGTCTGTGTTTCGCTGTCAAAACCTCTTGTAAATAGACGATGACTCCTGTACAGTCTACGGCATTCATCAACAGGAGTTTTATACAGAGTTGCCTGAAAACATCAACTTACATAAAACCTTCTTCGTTTATTTGGAAGAGAGGAAGAAACACAGTTTGTTTGCGTTGTATATACATACATACATACATACATACACACACACACACGCACAAACACACGCACACGCACAAACACACACAAACTTTTAAACAGATTCTTGGATTCAGCACCAGAGTGTGACGTGTTCTCGAGTGGAAGAAGATTATTTTTGTCGGAATGCTTGATGTTTTGCGAAAGAGATGAATGAACTACTTATGTTTTGTTTCTTACCATAGGCGTGTCGACAGGGTAAAAAAAATCAAAAAAGTAATTAGTCCGTCATTAAGATCGCACGAAAATATCAGACACGTATTTTTTGTTTTATCAAATTAACAGAAGAATACGTAGTTATTCCGCATTAAAGTTAGGGAGTGGGGGGTGTTGACGTCACACTTACGGAGAAATCGTACCTAGTTGTGACGTCACGCGTCATTTTAACTCAAAATATCTACATGTTTTTTTTGGATACGAGAAAAATGAAAAAATACGTATCGAAGATTTTTAAAATATCTAAAAGACGGACAAAAAATTAAAAAATAGTCGCCATGCCTATTGAATATGTATTGAGTAGTGTAATTGATTTTTTGTACCGTTCTATTCGTTCAAAATAAATAAATAAATACATAACTTCACGCCTGTCTCCCGTTGGGGTAGGCAGAGACTACATACCTCTTTCGCTTCTTCAACAGTCATCAATCTATTCATGCATGCTCGTCGGTTAAGGGTACTTTTAATTTGGCCCTTCTTTAATATATCGCCAATCTACTCAGTATATGTCCGTCTATATATTATATAGTATATTAACATGCAATATATTAATTCAAACCTTTTGAAGAATATCGGATACATCAGTATTGTAGTGAATTGGACCCCATCCTGTTACTATAGCTTGAGCATCCTCTACCGGCTCTGTGGGAAGACAAGCAGGCACGATGTACTGGCTCAATTCCATCCTGCAAACATTGCCAACTTTATCACCAAATGTTAAGGTTGATAATGCATTGAAGTTTGGTTAAAGTCGATGTTTTCTGTCTGTAAAGATATTTAGTTCGCATCAAGCTTTTAACTTACTGTTCCCTAAAGTGTACCAGAACCAGTGTAGTAGTACGAGAGATGACGACCAAAACCATGTCTCATAGCAATACGGCAAAAACCCTATAAAATCGTTAGATTGTATGATTCTGAACCCGACTAGGTGTGTAGTAACGGTCGAAAGTGTAGCAACTGCGTGGGAGGCCATTTTTGTTGTGTCAAAAATATCTGAGTATCGAAAAGTTGTCTGATATAGAGAAGGTGCTACACTTATTTTGTCAGATATACATTTTTTGCACGTGTGGACAACTTATTTTATCATGTCCAACAATTTTCAGACATATTGCCATGATACCGATCGGTAAAATTTGTTAACATTTTCAAAACGGTCTCAATATTTAATGCGTTCACATTTCCGTCTGAAAATTGTTTTGTTCGCATCAAATAACCAAAATTGACTAATAAAGAAGGTTTTCAGACGTATTGCTATGAGACATTTTTTTGTCTGGTGTTTTTGTGGTCAGATCAAACGCTACGCGGAAAATGTCTGATATTGGTATTTTCGAGTTCAGGATAATCGTATCTATCAATTTGAGGCGGTTTTGGCCGTATTGCTATGAGACAAAAATTTAGGTCGTCATCTCTCTAACTATGGAAGGTCCCTAGTTCCTGTGAATCGGAACTGTGCTGCTAAATGCCTAGTGAGTCGGGTGAGCGGTGCAGGGCGATACTCCAGTGAGTCGGTGAAATGAGCTCGCAGTGTCCCACGGTGAGTCGGGGAATAGATGCTGCGAGGGTAGGTGCGCATAGTGGCTGGCGTCTGCGTTGACGGGAGGAGATGTCTTTCAGAACCGTGTGCAGAAGTGCTGTGCCTAGAGGCCGTAGGGAAGAACCAGGCTGCACAACTTCGTTGCAGGCAATGGTGGTCCCTGATGTGGCCGAGGATGCTGGTTGGCTGTGACTTGATTACCGCTCAGCGGAGAAGTGATGGATGAGAGAGATGGCGATAAGGATGACGGTGCTGATCTGCTCCGTGAAGTAAAGATTGCTTCCAATCACGTCGGGGTCACAACTTTAAGGAACAGAGAGTAAAGTTCCCCAAGATCGGAAAAGGAGGATCCTCCGACCAGGCGAGGTGGTCGTGCCTGGCGGGCTTTCTGCCCAACAGTGCCATCTCTACGTCCTCGGCTGGGGGCTCGAGGACGTACGATATATATATAAAAACGAATGTTTATCGGATACAGCTGGGCATTTTTGGTATACTACCATATGCCAGCGGATTCGCCCACTTTTCCGTGGATTAAAAATTGGCCTATGTCTTATTTCAGACAATTATCTACCTCATTACCAAACGTCTCTAGAAGTGACGTCACATGATATTTCAAATTGACTGCACGGTTGGTGCGGTGGCTGGGCAACCGGCTGCCGTGCAACGTGTCGCGGGTTCGATTCCCGCACGGAACAACACTTTGTGCGATCCACAAATTGTTGTTTCGGGTCTGGGTGTCATGTGTATGTGAACTTGTATGTTTGTAAACGCACACACGACACAGGAGATAATCCTAGTGTGGGGCAACGTTTTTTAAAAAAGAAAAAGAAAAAAACAAAAAAATCATTATATATCGTTAAAATTTGGTTCTGTAAGAAAATAAAAAATACGTGTCTAATGTTTTAAAATAATCTACCAGACGGACATTAAATAAAAAATAGTCATGTATGTATTACAAATGATACTCACTCTCGATCGGTCTCAATCAAAGCGATGTCGTTGTATCTCGATGGGGATCTGTAGTGAGGGTGGTTTATAAATCGCTTGATCAAGTAAATCTTCGACTGGTCTTTCGCCTCATGTTTCTGAAGCACTCCTATTGCTATATAAGTGGCTGGCCCGCTGAAAATGAGAACAAAATCACTGTATAAATTGCGTTACAAAATCGACTTAGAAACAAGAGTCGTATTGTCTCTAAGGCAAACTAGACAAGTGGCTAGGGTGCCAAGGTCCACGGGCCTGCGGACGGATGGCACGGGTGGCTCGCCGCCCGACCAGAACCAGACCCGAGAGTACGGCGCGTCGCGTTCCGCGTACGCTGTACGCCTCAAAGAGCCATCAGATCACCACCATCTGTGGTCACCACGGGACCAATCAAGGGCAAGCCCTTGATAATCAAGGACCCGGGAATCGAATCCGAGAGCCCTTGGGGTCTGGGGTTCGATTCCCGGGTCGGGCACAGTATTACAAGGTTTTAAATAAATTCTCAGTAGTAGCACAGAGTCTGGAATTATGCCCGGTACATGGCAATAGGCTCACCCCCTATTACATGGGACTCGTAACATAAATAGTGAAAAGTGGGTGTTACATTGTACAGTGGCATAATGTGCACCTCTGCCTATCCCTTCGAGGATAAAAGGCGTGATGTTATGTTATGTGTAAAAAAGTCAAGTAATATACTTACGACATTGTTGAAAATGAACAATGAGCCGCTGTCAAGACGAATTTCTCGCTGATGATGGAGCCGCCACATTGGAAATCGCGGCTGGATATCTCTCCAAATCCGATCAGCGCCTATTATAAGAAATACAATCAGGAGTCATTCAGTTGTTCACAAATCACATCAATAGCCTTTAAAATCATCAAAGGCCTCTCACACGGAGAAGGTTTGAGCATTAATCACCACGCTTTCTCAATGCGGGTTGGCAATTTCAAACTTATAATTAGAAATTATAAGCCTAGGTTTGCTAACGATGTTTTCCTTCACCGTTTGTCAGTGGTGTCGGCACAATCGTAGAAAGTACGTATATAACTCGGAAAAAGTCACATTGGTATTTGTGGTTAATAGGTTTCGAACCCTCTCATGCTTGAGAAGCGGGCGTCTTCAATCTATGGGCGAAATCGACATTAAGTTGCTTGACATCGACATATGAGACACAGTTTTTATTTTCGGTTAAAGAAAACCGAAATGAAACAACGCTTGCGTTGTTTTACGTCGTGTGAGTGAGGTTACCGGAGGCCCAATGACCCCTAAAGATCTCCCCAATCCCTAAATCCCCTACAGTTAGTTTTAAAAGAGTAACGAATGGAGTTTCTTGCTCGTTCTTCTCCATTCGAATCTACGTTTTGGAATGAGCACCTAGCTTCACCTAATTTCACTGACGGACTGACTGACAGACTATTATTTATTTTGTATTTGTTGACGTTTCAAAAGTACCAAACTATGGTTTAATTGAAATAAATGCTTTGACTTTGACTTTGAGTCCTCAAATTTCTAATTCCCAAAAGACCGGAAACGTAAAGTAACGCCCCTGGTGTTCCGGGTGTCTTTTGCTTACCATCAGGTGATCCTTGCGCTCGTTTACCGGGTTATCTCATAAAAAACGGACCAGTGGTTCCTGAGATTAGCTCGTTCAAACAAACACAATAAAATGTATTTAGCTGTACAAATAAACCAATATATTTTCTTATGTTTGTGTGTTTGTTGAGGTCACAGTTCTAACCTATTTTCTACTTACCATGTGGGGAAATTCGTGCTCGTCAGCATTCGTACCTCCAACCACCAACTGGTCTGTTTTATGGTGACAATTATTGCGTCTGTCAAAGCCACCAGCGATGGAATATGCCCGTCCACAAGAATACACATACTTCTCTTGGTAATCTACACATTCTGTAACAATTAAGAAGATATTAAAAGATTTATTTGAAGAATTAGTTAGCTGAAGTGGCAGTCGACTGGTCACATTTTTAAGGGAAGACGGTAGCACAATGGACTCGTGCTGCCGTGCAACTGCATAGCGAGTCTCAAGGGAAATGCTTGTGTCCCTAGAGATGGGTCACAACAGGCGTTGCACTGTAAGGGCAACGCCGACCCGGTGTACAGGTGCTGTGGGTGGTTTCAGTGAGGTAAAAATCCCAAACTTTCAGGCGCCTTTGAAAGTCATCAAAATGGTCATTAAAAATGGCCGGTCACAGCTGATGAAGAACCGATAACCGTTAGTAGGGGGTAGACGTGTTCTACAGTTCGCGTCTAGGTAAACGTAGTGGCGCGCTCTTCAGCTAGGAGCTCTAAGTGGAGTGATGATATACGCTAGGGCTGGCAGTGGTTGAATGAGAAGAGCTGTAGATGGCGTGCTATTGCAGAGACCTATGTCCAGCAGTGGACGGACACAGGCTGATGATGAAGATGAATTAAACGTGTGAGAGCCATGCCTTGGTACAAATAGAGAGGCTTGACTGGAGTGAGACTATGGTCTCACAGAAAACCAGCATATATGCAGCGGTATGAGTGAGGGTCACCCAAAGGCGGGCCACGCACTTGTAACGTTGTAACTCCTGTGGTCTTCTGTGGTGTTACGGGGTCCATTTGCAACGCCGGTTGCGCGACTGGTTTCGCCGCCATGGTGTCCCGATGAAATATAGCCCGAGTATGACACTCCTCTCTTCACCCAGAGCGTAAACCACTCGATGATTTATCCCCCTTAAAAAAGTGTAAAAAAAATCTCACTGTCAAATGCTACTCGTCCAGTTTTTGGGGAGGTCAGTGATGACTTTACTGGCCCGCAATGTGGCTCCTCAATGAGTAAGCGTGATGCTGGAGTTGGAGCAGGTTGGGTTGTACTGAAAATTAAAAGTTTTCCAAAATAACAAATAACACCCACTTTTCAATATTTACGTTATGAGTTCCATGTAATAGGGGGTGAGGCTATTGTCATATACCGAACATAATTCCAGACTCTATACTACTACTGACATTTTTGAAAACCCAGTAATACTTTGCCTGACCCGGGAAACGAAATCGAGACCCCTTGTTCAATGGACCTAATTTTATTATGTAATTATTTTTATAACATATCTTTGCATGCCAAGTTAAGGCAAAATATGGAGAAACTATAAACTTTGTTAACACCTATATAGTATGTAGCCATGTTTGCAAATGATTAAATGAATATGAATATGAAATATTGTCCGGCAGTCGCACTTGCGACCACTCGGCCAACGAGGCAGTCGATTACTAGAGGTATATACTAAAACCTTCTAAGTGTAACTAAACACTTTTCTGAATCGCGAGATAAATGTGTACACACATGCAAACACTTGGCTGGCTT